CGTCCGACTTCAGCTCAGGTCATGTTCTCGATCGAAGTCCACGAGTTCGAGCCCCGCATCGGGCTCTGTGCTGACAGCTCAGAGCCTGGAGCCTGCTTTGGATTCCGTGTCTCCCTCTCTCTCTGTCCCTCCCCAACTTGCACTCTGTCTCTCTCTCTCTCAAAAATAAGTAAACATTAAAAAAATTAAAAATATATATATAACTGCCTATAGAAGTACAGTGCAATGGTGAAGGCTAAAAGGGATGTGGCTGTGCCTCTTAGAAGTGTGACCCTGGGGAAGAGGCCTGTTTGCTTAGTGCTGATTCCCTTATCTCTAAAACATGACAACTTCAGAGGGTTGTGAGGATTAAAAAAGTGCATACGAATCCCTGTCCCTGGGCAGGCCCCAGCGGTGCTCAGTGAAGGTTTCGTCACCCATTACAGGGCCTGCCAAACCTTCAGCCCTGCACACTCCGCACACAGGAACTAAAGAGTAGGATGTGGGCACTGGGGGAGCATCACCTGGGTACGAGGCACTGGGCCAGGGGCCCAGGAGGGTCATTCGACCAGGGGCCTGGGCTCTGCGACACAGTAGGATTCTGGGCCCTGATCCCTCACTGCGGCAAACCTCCTCTGCCCCATCAGTCCCTACCCCACCCTAAGCCACCGGCAGTGCCCTCCTGGGTGGGGCAGGCAGGGCAGGGCAGGGCTGGGCATCATTATCACTCCCAGCTCAGGGCTGGAGACAGAGTTAAGCCAGGCCTTCTTATCGGCTCCCCAAGCACTATGCTGAAAGGCACTGCCTGGCTCTGAAGCTTGGGGGCTGGAAGGCGGGGCCCTGTAGTGGCTGCCCAAGTCCTTGCTCCTCTAGAATGGTCCCCGGAGCAAGAATGGAAGAAGCAGCCTGGCAAACAGAACTCCACCTGGCTTGGATACCTTGTCATCTTAGGCAATCCCTTCCCTCTCTAATCTCCATCTGTGAAACTGGGGGTGGAGGGGATGACCCCTGAGTCCCTCGCAGCTTGAAAGAGTTGGGATCCTGTGACCACCTGTGAGGTAGCCATGCTGATTGTCCTATTTACAGACAAGGCACCTGAGGCCGAGCAGAGGGAAGAGACTCATTCCCATAGCATACTAGTCAGTGGCAGAGCTGAAGGACACCCAAGCCAGTGCTCTTCCCACACCACATGCCCTGACCTTCTAGCAGGCCCATGGAGGAAAAGTCTAGAAATGACAAAAGCACAGCTACTTCTGGGCTCCCCATCCCAGGTCCAAACCCCTCCATGAGGTTCCAGGTATGGGTTGGGGGCCTCAGAAGAGCTCCAGGCCCGTGGATACCTGGCAGCCCTACGGAGTGAGAGGTCACTCCTTGGCTTCTGTCCAGGGAAGGCAAGGATGGCAGGGCTTTCTGGGTGTGGGGAGAGCTGTCCCCATAACCGGACTCGGATAATACCCCTGCTCTTATCAGTGGGCCAAGGGCTCCAAGGGGTATATCTGAGAATCAAGGGCAGGTTCAGCAGAAGTGGGGAGGGAGCACAGAGGCAAGGTGAGTGCAGCTCAGCTGAAGCTTTTAGTCTGGAAGGAAAGAATCTCTGAGGGTGGGTCTAGGGTTAGGGGATGGGTGTGGGCGGAGCCACAGGAAGGGGCAAGCTAGGTCCACTTACCCTTTGAGGAGCAGAGGAACCTGAGCTAAAGGGCTTTCTAAAGAAATCCTAAAAACCTCAGTTTGGGATGGACGAGGGAGACCCAAAATCTATGCCCCGGAGCAGAGGAGTCACGGCTGCCTTTGAGAACCTAAGAAAAGTTATGCCCTTGCCTAATGGGGAAACCGAGGCCCAGGCTTTTGGGGAGATGACTCACACCTAGCTGAAGACTTGGAAGGCCCTGGGGCGCCTGGGTGGCTCAGTTGGTTAAGCATCCAACTTCAGCCCAGGTCATGATCTTACAGCCTATGAATTCGGGCCCCGCATCTGGCTCTGGGCTGACAGCTCAGAGCCTGAAGCCTGCTTCAGATTCTGTGTCCCTCTCTCTCTCTGTCCCTCCCCAACTCATGCTCTGCCTCTCTCTGTCTCTCTCAAAAATAAACATTAAAAAATTTTTTATAAAGACTTGGAAAGCCCTGTTGGAGAGGGGGTGAGTCCCCTGTACAGCTGGGGGCAGTGACCCAGGAGGTTCAGTCCTAATGACCAGTCGCCAGGCTCTGAACCAGGCAGGGCAGCAGAGAAACAGGCCATGCGGCAGAGCAGGACTAGGCCTTCCAGACCCTGGGGCCTGGCTTTCTCAGGCCCCGGCAGAGCTGGGGCTCCAGGCAGGCACCACCTGGGTACTCAGCCAGTTCCCTGAATATCCAGGCCTTGGCTCAGGATTCCTGGGCTCTCTTCTTCTCTGGCCCAGGCTCAGAGGACTCCCATCTGGGAGCAGGCCTGCAACTCTCCTCACTGCTGGGCAGCCAGGGCTGAGCTGTGCCCTCTGAAACCACCCAGACAGGTGATGAACACATACACTACATACACCCCTGGGGTTGGGGGCTCAAAAGGCCTCATGCCCTCTTCCCCTCCCCAGGCACCCCTGGACTGCAGGCTTCCCAGACAGGTAAGACTGCTTCACCTTTATTTGTAAATGCTGGCCCTAAGACTTTTAAATGTGGCCACCGAAGCCATTTACAACAAGGCCAAAACTAGGCTGCCTTTCTGTATGCCAGTGAGTACCCTGCACCCCTCCCAGAACCCAAGGTTAACTCTGAGTTAAGCAGGGGTGAGAGCTGAGAAAAGGCTTGAACACCGAGAGCGCTTGGCATGGGGAGTCCATGAGACCAGGGCAAAGGGGGCAAGAAAGAGCTGTAGTCCTTGGGGTTGAGCAAGACTGTTCAGGGGCCCAGAGAGCCAGAGCCAGAGCCAGGGGTAAAGCTGGGGCTGGACAGGGAAGGGCCCAAAGCCGCCATGGGCATTCCAGGGAGGAGGAAGAAGGAAGGGCAGCAGCAAGAGGCACTCAGCATATAGAGAACTGAAGTTACGTCCTGCATTGTGGGTCACCCACCTCTCCAGGCTGGGCTGGCACCCCCAAAGGATGAACTCCTGCCACCCCCACAATACACATACAGGCACACAAACCTCCATGGGACCCTGAGGTGTTCACCTGGTCCTCTGCTGACATGCCTTCCTCTCACCTTCACCACATCCTGAGCTCGCCTGGCAACGAGGGTGGCAGGAAGCAGCGTGGTTAGTGCCCATCATCACCTCCTAATGTAGCAGTTCTGAACCTTCAGGGTGGCAGGAGCACATGGGGCACTTGACAAAAATTCAGATTCCGATTCCTGCCCTCCCTTCTCCTCAAGATTCTGAATCAGTGGTCTGAGGACCCAGGTAATTCTGAGAGGGTGGTCCTTGGAGAAATGCTGGGTGGTCTGCTAGGTGTTCGGTGGAGAAAACAACCGTAAATATAACTGCTGCATTCATCGTGTGCCTACTGTGCACCTGACGTTTGGCATGAACCACCTTATTTTGTCCTTTGACACCCTTCCGGGAAAGGTGCCATCATTTCTATTCCCAAGGTCACACACTGCCCACTAGAGAAATCACAATTTGAGGTAGTTCCCTCTCTCCCCACCCCCTTCCTGTCCCCCAGGGGCCTGCAGACTTACAGGGTCTGGGACCCACCCCAGGGACAGGACCAGAACCAGCATGTGACTCCCCAACAGGAAGGAGTGACCAAGGTGACACCAGTTAGTAAGAAAGATGTAGAATTGTACCGTAATGGAGAATACCCCCACCCCTCCACTTCCCAGGGATGAGGCAGCAAAAGGGCCCAGTCCCAGCCTGAGGGCTGCCAAGTCACCAGGGAGGCTCCAGTGTGGCAAGGCTGGACCTGGCTGGCTTAGCCAATTCCCAGGCGGCGGGCGCCCCCTGCAGCCAGATAGGGGAGTGGCAGGCAGAGGCCTGGACGTTCCCAGGGCTGACCTCCCTGGGACGGCTAGGTTTTCTCTGGCATCGTCTCCGGGCCTCACTGTGGTCCTTCTGGTTGCCCCATTTTAAGGATGAGAGAAGTGTTGAGTGTCTTGCCCAAAATCGCAGAGCCAGCCAATATGGGGCCCTGGCTCCTCCCTCCCGGAGTCTTTGTCCCAGCCCCCCAGAGCCCCCCCTCACCTCCAAGCTCCCTCGCCCGTAGGACAGACAGGACCTTTGTAGGAGGCAGGCAGTGGGTATTTAATAGGCTTTGGTGGAGGATCTCGACACTCCCACCAGGGAAGTGGGCAAGGGTGGGGCACAGACAGGCCTCCACACAGGGCTCAGGAGATGAGGTTCAGATGCAGGGGCTCCTGGCATCGCCGGGTGTGAGGGGGCGAGAGGTGGGCAGAGCCTCGTCTGGGGCACTCCTGCAGCAGGGAAAAAAACACTGGGCCTGCATGGAGCTAAACACAGAGTGGAGGGATGGGGGCTCTCCCCAAGCCCCTGCCCCACAGCTCATGACCCTCCAGTTAGGGAGCAAGAAACTGTCCAAGCCACCAGCCCCACAGGGAGAGCAAAGGGAGTGGGCTGGTCCCACAGAATGTCACTGCAGGGGCCCTGGGGGAGGAGGAGGCTGTGGATTACACACCCCCACTTCATTCCTAATGGTCCACTTCCAGGCATTTCATATGTTGGGCTTCAGAGTAAAAGTTGCCTTTAAATAAAGGGCTCCATCCAATCTCAGAATTATGAACTACTGGCCTAGTCTCAGTCACTAATAGCTGAGGAAACAGACACCCAGAAAGGGTAAGTGGCCTCAGGCCAACCAGCAAGTGGTCTTTTCTCTTTATGTCTCCAGGGACCCCTGGTGTATTCTGAGGACTGTGACTTTACTTCCAGCACTCCTCAGGTCTATGATCCCCCTCCCTCAAGCTCTGAGTGCTCCAGTCTCAGGGCCAGACAAACATGGGGTGAGGGGGTTCCCCCCGACACTTGTAATATCCACAGAATCCCTCTCCCAACACACACAAGTACACACTCTCTCTCTCTCTTTCTCTTCTTACCTCCTGGAGGGCTAGAGCCTCTCCCTGAGGGAACCTTCCCTGGTTTGTGGAGACTCAGAGATTGGGGCTGGGGGGCCAGAGCCAGGTTCTGGGAGGGCTGGGGGACTGAGCACCGAGGGGCACACTGGGAAGTGCAGGTTCTGCATGGGCACCCAGTCAGACCCCGCCACTCTCTGCAGCCAGACAGCTTCAGCCATGTACCTGGGGAGCAATAAGCCACATGGAAGGGGTCATGGCCCTCCCGGCCTGCTCCCTCTCAGCTTGGGGAGCACACAGCCCAAGGCTTGGCCCTGCAGAGAGCTGCAGCCAGTCTCATTCAGGCTATAGTGCCCCTCTACCACATTTCTTAGGGTAAGAATCCACAAAGGCAAGGAAGTGAGGGTTCCAGAGGCTCTCACAATGCCCTGAAGGAAACCCCGAAAGAAGAACAGTGAGTATAAAGGCCTGGGAGCTGGGGCTAAGAGGTCAGGGGCGATGACCCGGCTTTATCCCAACTCCCCCTCCCCCCCACCACGCCCCATCACTGGGTCCTCTGGTCTGCAAACTCACTTGGGTCCCAGCGGTGCACAAATTGTTAAATACCAGTTGCTGGCACAGCCGTGGTCGAAGGGGTTGTATCCCTGCAGGTATCGGCACTGGAGGGAGGTGAGGGCCAAAAGAGGAACTCAGGTTCAGCAGGACCGGGCAGCCTACCCTCTGATGGTCCTCCCTGAACCATCAGCTCAGCACAGGCCCATGGCAAGACTCCAAGGGCAGAGAAGCAGGGAGAGTGAGCTAAGGCCTCCCCTGACCCACCTCTGAGTAGCTCTCTCCAGGCAACCCCTGGCCCTGCCCCCACCTCTCTTGCCTTCTCAGGGATCCTCCCCCATCACCCGTACTCTCTTTTGCAGTATCCTCTCCTTCTCTGTTTCCTTAGGCCACACCACATCCTCCTGCTACCTCCTTCTAGATACACTTTCAGATCTTTTTGTGGCTAAACTGGTCCAAATACAGTTCCACACCCCTCCCCCAATTTCCCTACCTTCCCAGCTCTCATTTTTTCCAAACTTGTGCTTTCACTGAATTTCACTATCTAGAAGGCCAATTGCATGGGGCCCAACCATATCTCCCTAACAAAATAACTTGGCCCTGGAAATCTGGACTGAAGTTCCTGAGCACCCATGCAGTGAAGGTCAAGCCCAAAGGTGAAGTCCTCCCTTGAATACTCTTAACCAAGTTCTTCCCCTCCCCTCCCCTCCCTCTACCCATCAGCCCCGCCCTCCTCCCCCTCCCCAGCACGAGCAGATTCTCACCCTGACGTCAAGAGCCTTAGCTACAAAATGTCTGTAATGATCAAAAGTGGCCCAAGGGCACCTCTGCCCACCACGGGGAGCTCCCCTGTGTCCCATGCCCCTGTCACAAAGATTTTGACCTTCAACACTATTCTCCATCACAAGGTGTCAGGATTCCATGCAGGGCAGCTGACACCTAGGGGAGAAAAAGTCAAGACGGCTCCACAATGTCCCATTGTTGACAAAAAGTGACATCGACCATCAAGACACTTTGAGTTCTAACATTTAAAGCATTAAGGGAAACTGCCATTCTATTTGAAATTTTAATTAAATGGTTAGAAGAGTTTGATTATATTTACAATTAGAATTTTAAATTTAGAGAAATAAATTTTGATTGATTAGATGTATATGAAGTATACAAAAACAACTGTCCAACACTTAAAGGCATGATAATTGTCTGATGAACTCATTAGAACTCACTAGTAAAAGACAACACCTTCCTCTCCCCACATGAGAGCTTCTCGGATGTGAATGGAATCCAACAGCTCCAATTCCGTGTCTCAAATGCTCCCACACTCCACAGGACAAAAATCAAAGCGGGCATCTTCTCTTCCCAGCTCCTCCTTCCCAGGCTCTCTGCTGCCTCTGCTCTCTGCCCTTCTTCCCCAGGGATCGGGGCATCAGGCATTTTTCTCTCTCTTTCTCTCCCAAGGCATTATCAATTCCTTTGTGTAAAGACTCACTCATTCGCTTGGAAATATCTGGGGGCCTCAACAATGTCCTAGGCACAGCACTGGGGGCTGAGGACACAACCACCACCACCAAAGCCTGCCTTAACTCTCAAGCAGCTGGGGAGTGGGCAGGGCAGTGCACAGAAGAGCAGGCAGCCGGGGCCAAGACTCCAAGGTGCAGGGAGAGGAGCAGCAGCCCTGGAAAGCAGACAGTGGGGCCCTGAGTGGCCACGGTAGGGGCATTCAGCTTCCCTGATACTGTGTGCAGCCTGGAAAGATTAAGTTTTAGGGCTGCCTACTGGCCCCTTCGAGAGCACAGCGCCAACGTGACAGTGAGGAGAGGCCGGGCTGGAAGCTGGCTGAGGAAGGCAAAGAATGATACCGGCGAGCATAGCCAGCTCGTTCAAGAAATATGGCCCTGCTGGAGGGGAGAAGGCAACAGGTGGAGAAGAGGCTTGTGTTGTTAGGAGTGTTCTCTTTGTTCCTAAGATGGGAGAGACGTGAACACGTGTAAATGATGGGAAGGAACGGTTAAGAGCAACAACAATATATAGGGCTTCTGCTCATACTGGCTGCTGCTCTCCGTGTCTTACACGTATTAAGCCGTGCGGCCCGTTTCACAGATGGGGAAACCAAAGCACCAGGTAGCTAAGTAACAAATCCAGTATCTCCCTGCTGATATGAAGCTGCGGTTGGAATTTATGCAGACTGGCTCCAGCACCCTTGGTATCAACCACTGGGGCAAGTGGTCCCAAAAGACGTGGTTCGGGGATGGAGGTAGGAAGGGAATGAAGTTGAAGTGTGTAAAGAACGCCTGAAATGGGGGTCGTCTGGGTGGCTCAGTTGGTTAAGTGTCCAACCTCGGCTCAGGTCATGATCTCATGGTTTGTGGGTTCGAGAGCCACATCGGGCTCTGTGCTGACAGCTCGGAGCCTGGAGCCTGCTCTGGATTCTGTGTCTCCCTCTATCTCTGACCTTCCCCCACTCACGCTCTGTCTCCATCTCTAATAAATAAACATTAAAAAAGAAAAACAAAGAATTCCTGAAACAGGTTCTGCAGGTGAGGGGACAGAGCCCTGAAAGAATGAGTCACACTCATCACAGAGTGCAGCAAATCACAGAGTGCAAACCCCATTTAGATTTCTGAAGACTGGAGATCACAGACTGGGAGACCCCCATTGCGAGCAGTGGAGCAAGGGCAGGCCAAGGGCCTGACGTGGGGCCAGAAGAACCATGGGATGTGGGAAGGGGAGTGCTGCCCAAGGGAGGCTGAAATGATGGACTGAGGCTGGAGACAGAAGACACTCAGACCACAGAAGGTAATGAGAAAGGGATAATGGGTACTGAGCAAGAGGAGTCACCGGTGGGCTGGAGTGGTTGAGTAGTGACTGTAAGGACAGCAAGTGGTGGGCAAATAGGGGTCCTCTGTCCTGTCAGTTGTCTCAGTATCTCCAGCTCTCCCTCATCAATGTAGGCAACTACAATCTTCCTAAAACAACCTTCAGTTGGGGTGCCTGGCTGGCTCAGTCTGGGTAGAGCATGTGGCTTTTGATTTCAGCAGCTCTTAATCTCAGGGTATTGAGTGCAAGCCCCACATTGGTCATAGAGCTGACTTAAAAATAATAATAACCACAATCTTTAGCCAAGTCATCGTCCTGCTAAAGGAATCCCATGGCAAGGATGTTCACTTTTATCACTTCTGCTCAACATTGCACTGGAGATCCAAGACGGTCAGTACAGTAAGAAAAGAAAAAGAAATAAAGCCATACATGTTAGGAAGGAGGAAATGAAACTGTCCTTATTTACAGATGACATGATTTTCTATGTAGAATCAACAAAAAAACTATTAGAATAAGTGAGTCTAGCAAAATTGCAAGATTCAAGACCGATAAACAAAAAATCCATTGTATTTCCTTATAATAATAATCAAACAGAAATGAAATTTAAAAACACATTTATGGGGAGTCTGGGTGGCTGAGTCAGTTGAACATGTGACTCTTGATTTCAGCTCAGGTTATGATACCAGGGTTGTGGGATTGAGCCCTGCATCAGGATCCAAGCAGGGAGCCTCCTTAAGACTCTCTCTGTCTGTCTGTTTGTCTCTCTCTCTTTCTCTCCCCCTCTGCCACTCTCTCCCTCTTTATTTTTTTTTTTAAATTTTTTTTTTCAAAGTTTATTTATTTTGGGGACAGAGAGAGACAGAGCATGAACGGGGGAGGGGCAGAGAGAGAGGGAGACACAGAATCGGAAACAGGCTCCAGTCTCTGAGCCATCAGCCCAGAGCCTGATGCGGGGCTCGAACTCCCAGACCGCGAGATCGTGACCTGGCTGAAGTCGGACGCTTAACCGACTGCGCCACCCAGGCGCCCCATCTCCCTCTTTAAAAATAAAAAAAGTAAAGGAAGCAAAAATAATATAAAAACAGGGAGGGGGACAAAACACAAGAGACTCTTAAATACAGAGAACAAACAGAGGGCTACTGGAGGGGTTGTGGGAGGGGGATGGGCTAAATGGGTAAGGGACATTAAGGAATCTGCTCCTGAAATTATTGTTGCACTATATGCCAACTAACTTGGACGTAAATTCAAAAATAAACTATTTAATTAATTTAAAAAATATTTAAAAATTAAAAAATAAAATAAAATAAATAAAAGTAGCACATATATAATAACACGAAAAGCAAAATACTTAGAAAAGATCAGGGAGCCTGGGTGGCTCACTCAGTTAAGTGGCTGACTTCAGCTCAGGTCATGATCTCACAGTCATGAGTTCAAGCCCCGTGTCGGGCTCTGTGCTGACAGCTCAGAGCCTGGAGTCTGCTTTGGATTCTATGTCTCCCTCTCTCTCTGTCCCTCCCTGCTTGCCCTCTGTCTCTCTCTCAAAAATAAACAGACATTTAAAAAAATACTTAGAAAAGATCTAACACAATGTATGCAAGATCTATATACTGAAAACTACAAACACTAATGAAAGAAATTGAAGAAGTACATGGAAAGAGGTTTGTGGCTTCAAAAAGCTCAATATTGGTAAAACGTCAATTTTCCAAATTGACCTATAGGTTCAATGCAATCCACATAAAAATCTCAGCAAACGTTTTTGTGGAAATTAAGCTGATTCTAAAAGTTATGTGGAAAATCAAAGGAACTAGGATAACCAAAAAAACTCCCCAAAAGAACAAAGTTGGAGAACTTACATTGTGCAATTTCAAGACGTAATGTAAGCCTACTAATCCAGACAGTGTGGTATTGGCAAAAGAACAGAGTCCAGAAATACACCCACAACTACATAGTTAACTGATTCTTGACACATGTGCAAAGGTAACTCAATGCAAGAGGACAGTCTTTTCAACAAATGGTGCTGGAACAGCCCATTTGCAAAAATAATACATCTTGACCCTAACTTGCATCATATACAAAATTTAATGCAAAATGAGTCATAGTCCTAAATATAAAATCCAAAACTTATAAAACTTCCAGAAGAAAATATAAGAAAATCTTTGTGACCTTGAGTTAGGCAAAATTTTCTTAATTACAACACCAAAAACACAGTCTATAAAAGGGAAAAACCAATAGTGTACTTCAGCAGAATTTAAAACTTCTGATCTTTGGAAGGCACTGCTAAAAAAAATTGAGATGACATACAGACTGGAAGAAAATATTTGCAAAACACATATCTGAATCCAGAGTACATAAAGAAGTCTTAGGACTCAATAATTTCACAAAGAAAAAAATGGGGGTGGGGGGGCGGCGCCTGGGTGGCTCAGTCGGTTAAGCATCGGACTTCCAACTCAGGTCATGATCTCACTGTTCGTGGGTTCAAGCCCTGCATCCGGCTCTGTGCTGACAGCTCAGAGCCTGCAGCCTGTTTCAGATTCTGTGTCTCCTTTGCTCTCTGCCCCTCCCCCACTTGCACTCTGTGCAGTCTCTCTCTCTCTGTCTCAAAAATAAATAAACATTTTAAAAAATTAAAAACGAAAAAACTGACAATACCAAATGTTAGTGAAGATGTAGAGCAACTGAAATTCTCACACATTGACTGTGGAAATGCACAGTGGGAATGCAGCCATTTGGGGAAACAATTTGACGGCCTCATAAAGTTAAATGTACAGTTACCATATGACCCAGCAATACCACGCCTAAGCATTTACCCAAAAAGAAATGAAAATGTATGTTCACGTGCCTGTACACCAATGTTTATAATCGCCGAAAACCGGAAACAACCCGAAATACGCTTCCATCAGCAAATGGATAAACAAGTGGGGGTATGTATATCCACATGTTGCAATACTGCGTGGCAATAAAAAGGAAGAAACTACTGATATGGGCAGCAACATAGATGCATTTCAAATGCAGTATGCGAAGTGGAAGAAGCCAGACTCAAAAGGCTATGATTCCATTTATATGAGCCACTGGAAGAGGGAAAACTATAGGGATAGAAAGCAGAACAGTGGCTGCGAGAGGCTGTGGACAGGGAAACTGGCTA